GATTCATAACTTGTATAACATATAATAACCTTAATTATCAGGAGCCTGCGAACTAAGACTTCGAATACATGGTCCAGGACGCTCCCTCCGACAACGACTTCGGTCACCGAGAGTCACGACGAGGGGACCGGGCTGAGGGAGTCTACTACGTGGTCTTACCTGATGGAAGGAAACAGGTAATATATAGTAGGAGGATGGATGGTTGTTTTGAACACAATAGAGATCATGAGCATGACTTATGAAATTAATTATTTGTCTCCAGACCGTTGAATATGAAGCCGACCAGGACGGTTTCAAGCCCAGAATCTCATACGAGGACGTCGGCGCCGGATCAGGCTACGACAGTAACAGACAAGCGGATTACAACAACGATTATAACAACGGACCTTATTAGAAGATTTTATATAAAGAAAAAAAAATGACAATTTGTAAATGTTATCTTTTACTCTAGTAGTTAGTGTTTATTGGTATATTTATTAATTAACTAGATACCTATATCTACATTGTCATCTTAAACTTTTTAAAAAATGTTAGTATATTCACGTAATGTAAATATAATTAAACTCTAAAATCTATACTTTCCTTTCATTCCCACGATCATTTCTTTGTAAAATTTTGATGTCGCTACAAATTATATTACATAAATTCTTGGATGGATAGTGCTTTCCTGTCATTCTACTCAAATTATACATAATTGGATGGAAACACAAAATCAGGTGAACTTGTCGAACCGTTTGCTGCGTACATGATTCCCAAAGTGGTGGCTGGTATTAAAAGCATGCAAGAATTCAAGCGAGCAATGTCTAAGCACAGTCTTCAAAGGCCAATACCGAAATTCGTGTCTTAAAACACTGAAAGGCCAGCTACGCGCGTACTTAGGACCAACTAAATTGGTTTTAGCCAACTCGGGGTCACCAACAAGACTTTTTGAGTATCTGTTTACGAAGATCAAATCAGTCAGACGACATATTATGTGTTATCATCAGTGCTTGCCAAAATATGACATCAGTACTGATCCTACAACCGGACCTCTCCTTTAAATAGACAAAAAAGTAGTCCAGGTAGGTACTGTTGTAGGTACTGAGGTACTGTTATACTTTTGTAAGGACATCGCATATCCTTGAAGTGCCATCGCTTTCAACTTAATGAACAATCCAAAGTTGAGATTCGGTGATATCTCAATATTCGATGTTATAGCCAAATTTCTAAGATTTAATCACTTTACCAGTGATTAAAGAGGTATGGTACAAGCGTGACGGAACAAGAGACAACTGTCATGCACAATTGCGCATATTTTAACCTATAGGTAGGGCTGGAATAGGATCAGAGCGCCTACCTAGCGTTAAAATTAACCACTTAAGAATAAATAGTCTCGGTTTTTTTTACAAATAAGGGACTCTGACATAAAGGAATCGAAGTCAGGTAAACTAAATGGTACCCGATAATTGAGCTGACAGAAGTTTGGTAATATGTTTTTGCTAGGCTAGGAACCAAAAAGCTTCACCTCCAAATATGCTGTTTAAGACTGATTAAGACTGTTCCAAGTTTTGCTGCATTTCCTTTTTCTGCCTTTCCCTGCCCTAAATATTTTGAATATCAAAGTTTTTGGTATTTAACTTAAAAGTAACATCGTCTCAATTCTTCACTATTTCATGTACAAAACTAATGATTTTTTCAGTCAGTTCAGTCATTTCAGTCAGTTTCAGATTGATGGCGACGGAATTTCAAGACATTTTAAGATTTTGTTATCACTGGCGACTATGTGACTTTAGAAATACGCTAAACTACATCAGAAACTGATCCTCAGACTGAGAAAATCTCAATCTCAATGTCAGTCTCATATGTTGCAATTATATGTTATCCTTCCGGCCCCCATTAAGGCCGGTTGGACGGCTCGTAAAAAGAGTTTCCCTGAGACATCAAAAAAAAATTATATGGTATACTAAATTCAAAATGTATTTTCACATATAGAAGTCAGTTTCCTATTCCACTTGTCATTTGGAATTTCGTAAATATCATGTAAATATCGGTGTATAATCTTTGGTTAAAATTATAAATCAATTACAAAAGGCTCAAATAAGAAAACACAATTCAATTTTAAAAACCAAATTTATTTGAAAGCAAACAACAAAACAGACAAAAATCTCAAGATTTTTACTTGACTAGATTTAATCAAATAAAACTAGACGAATCACATTAAGAAATGAAATTTATGTTTTAAGGAACTTATACAATAAAATAATTATTTAGTGTCCGCTACTCTTTATACATCAACTCCTTCTAATTTACAATATCATTTACAATATTATTTTATTATTATATACTCGTACTTTACTCCACACAACAGTTTTCGAAGTAAAACTTAGTTTTAAACTAGTCCAAAAATGTAAAAATAATCAGAGAATTATATTGGTAACTGAGATTTTTACTTTAATAAATAGAACTGTTAAACAATGGATTTTAATTTAGAAATTAAAATGTTAAATTGACATAGAAAAGCATATTATTACAGACTGAACTAATCAACAAAAAATATATTTCTAAAGTGTTTTACAAATTTACAAAATTACAATTAATACCTAAAAAATATGTGAAAACACATAAGTTCTAAGAGGTAAGCTAGATGTATATAATGTGAGAAGACGATCAAATACAACATGTTTACAAATCACTTTTCATTGTTCGTACTTAAACATTATGCAATGAAGTTCCAAATATATGATGAAGATGGCGTTCATAATAATTACAGATTAACATCATTTACATGAATTAACCATTTTACTAAAATATTAATGATGTTGAAATTACCAATATTAGAGAAAATATCCTAGAAAACAAAAAGAGTACTAAGAAACATTTAGACATCTTAAAACGACACCAAAACTAAAACATTCTAAGTACGAATAAATTAAAAAATATTTGGTTAATTTTTGTACATAATACAATAAAATCTGATTATTACTAAACCGAGTTATTATAATAATATTAATAATTATGAGAGAGATAAATATACAGATAATACTAACGTTACAGGTAGCTCAGGAACACTAACACATCTCCCCGCTATAAACAACTTGAACTGAATACATACCCAGTATAAACATATCTTCATTGATACTAAAACAATAGTTTGTGTCAATTATATAATATTACATATAAAGAAAGACATGTGTATTAACAATCACAGTAGAACATTATATTCACCTACAGACTCACATACATTAATGTAGAATTATATTATTAAATATATAATTGTTTTGATATATAATATAAAACATTGTTAATGTCTATTGGTTACAGTAGCAGTACATGTTGAGGTGTGGGCGGGTGGCGCTTATACAGCTCGGCTCGTTGTTGTAACTGTAATATGTATAATATATTATTATTAGTACATATATTATCTTGTATTATATATACATTTTAAAAATAACTGTGTTCGTTACATATAATTTATTGCAATGCAGTATAGACAAAATGATGTAAATAATTCAGCCACTTACGCGTTAGTTCTTGATATATCTCTTGAATTTATCTCAAATCTGTTTTCGTTGATAACATAAGTCATTAATGCTTCGTATTTACCGACACCAGGTCCTACTGAGATCTGAAATTATAAACATATAACTTTCAGCCTTTCAGTCATGTAGTCTTCAACCACCAATGTCTATTACTAGTCATCACTTTAATCATCCATTAAACTTATATAATATGTAAGGACAGTAAAATCAATTAAACTTTATTTAAACTTACTTAACGTTTTTTAAACATATGTTGATGATTTAGTTAGTAACCCATGGACAACCGTGACATAGTTTTGCGGATGTGTTGCCACCCTTGATTCGGGAATAGGAGGAGGAGGCAAAGGTGGGAAAGGGATGGAAAAGGGAAAGGGCAACCGGCTCTCTCGCTCATCGGACGAAACGCAGTCATTAATGACTAATAATACATTTTTTTTATTTCGTCCTATCGGGTGTCATAATGATGCTAGTATTTAAAAAGCATGGAAAAAATTATTTAACTTCTTTTCACTCTGTTACCAAACCGTCCAATGAATCCGTCTTGATCGCGAGCCTCCACGAACGTTAATACGCCGCTGTTGGGCCTCGCTCGCATCACCCACGACACTGACTTGAGGGAGCGGACCGCACACACCGACCTGGAGATAAACGGATATTATAATATTATTATATTTTCAAATTTGATTAGGTAGAGAGAGGAGCTTGGACGGTGGAGGTGAGCGTTCAATGCGCTTTAGATAGGGGGCCCTTAAACCTACACCTGGGTCTCGAGTCCTAGATACTCTTGAAGCTTCCCCTCCTGCAACGTGGAATGCTCAGAAGTTTCGTCTCTTATAGGATAGTCAAATATAAATACTGTTGGAGCCAATTACCAAGAATGTAAACGCCTCATATAAACTATTAGCTACGACGCGAGAACGCGGGACTCGGTCAAGATCATCAGTGCGTAACGAAGCATTGAACGTGCAACATCCATATGTGTAATCTATATATAATAAATAGCATTAAGTCAGTCTTCGTTTACTTGTAACCTGCGCGCTCATTTTGGTGACCCCGACGTGATCAACTTCGAATTGGAACGGACTCGCAGCCAAACTGTTGTTACGTCATCACGAAAATATCACGGGCGGAGCTATCCTTCGAGAATTCGCCAGCAGCCAGCTGCAGCCACTGTTTCCGAGGGAAGTGCATCCATCCTTTCTACTTATATATCCTTTTTTGCTTCAACTCGCGTGAGTAAAATTTATATGATAAATTTATTTGATAAATTTATTTTTCGCCCACCGTCAACTTTTTTATGATATCGGTACATAATATAAAATTCTTTGTTAATAAAATTATTCTTAAAATTGTTGTTTGTACAAATAGCTTGTGTTATATGGTGTTTCGCGGTTTATTTAATTCTTAACATCGTAGTTATTAACATCTGATTCGTTATATATACGTGAAGCGTTATAATATTTTAAATATTGCACCGTCATTATGAGTGACGTAAAGGAACTCATCAAACAAAGGGGACATATTAAGGCTCGCGTAACATTGTTTGAAAAATATTTAAAACCTTTGTTAGAATGTAAAGAAATTAGTTTAGTACAGGTGAATGAATTGCGCTTGCGCTTAAGCAAGATACGTGATTTATCATGCACTTTTGATGATATTCAATCGCAGATTGAAATGTTGGATGAAGATACGTCAAAACAAATGCAAGAACGCGAATTTAATGAAAATATATTTTTTTGTTTATCGGCCGAAGCTCAGTCATTAATCGATTTTTTCGAAAATAAAAATAAATTAGAATCTTCATCTAACAAAAGTCGTCCGAACTGTCATTTAAAATTGCCCCCAATTAAAATCACTCCCTTTAATGGTGAGGCGAACAAATGGTTGTCATTCAGGGATACATATGTGTCGTTAGTACATAACAATGAAACGATTGACGACGTTAACAAGTTTCACTACCTCAAGACGTACTTGGAAGGGCCGGCTAGCGCTGTCATAAACTCAGTCAGTGTCTCATCCGATAACTATAGCCTCGCATGGAAATTGTTATGCGAGAGATATGATAACAAACGTCTTTTGATAAATGAACACATAAAGTGCTTGTTTTCCATCGAATCTTTAACTAAGGAATCCCACAGTGGTTTACGTAACCTTATCGATACATTATCGAAAAACCTAAACGCCTTACATATTTTAGGTGAACCGACGGACAAATGGGATACGTTAATTATTTTTTTAGCTTCTGCCAAATTAGACAGTGTTACTTCTCGGAAGTGGGAGGAATATAGAAGCAATAAAGACGCGCCCACACTGGACGATTTTTATGATTTTCTTCGAAAGCGTTCTATGGTATTAGAAACAATGAATGTTAATAAACCCAGTAAAGTTGATAAACGCCTTAGTTTCTACAACACAAAATCATTCCTTAGTTCTTCTATAGAATCACCATCCCCCTCCGCGCAGTGCCTTCTCTGTAAACAGAATCATAAATTATACGAGTGTAACACATTTAAGTCACTACCAGTCTCTAATCGAATTAATAAACTTAAATTACTAAATGTATGCTCCAATTGTCTTCGTCAGGGGCATCAAGCCTATCAGTGCAGGATGGGTGGGTGTAGAATTTGTCACAAAAAACATAACACTTTAATACATAAACAAAATTCTATACAGCAATCATTTAATATTCAAGAACAAAGTGATAATAATAGTAAAAACTTACCTACGCTATCACCTGCCGCCACGGCCGCTACCGATTCCGAAGTGCCGAGTAGCTCTGCTTCGGTTTCCATGACTGCAATTTCTACCAATCAATCACTTCTCTCTACTGCTTTAGTCAAGGTGACGAGTAACGGTAAAACATGCATATTAAGAGCTTTACTAGATTGTGGCAGTCAGTCTTCTTTTGTGACTGTCAGGGCTCTAAGGGAAACAGGTTCGCAATATTTTGATTCTGATTACCATAGCGTATCAGGTATAGGAAGTAGTGTCTTCAATGTCACAAAACATTGCTATTTAGATATAGGGTCGTTAAACAGTTCGTTAGTTATGCGTGTTAAATGTTTTGTGTTACCTCACATCACTGATAGATTACCCAATGTTGCAGTAAACGTACAACATTTGGACATTCCGTGTCATGTCCAACTTGCCGATCCAAAGTTCTTTGAACCTTCCGATATTGATCTTTTATTGGGTGCTGATGTATTTTGGGATTTGTTGGAATCAAGCAGGATAAATTTAGGATCTCAAGGCCCAATCTTGCAGGAAACGAAGCTGGGATGGATAGTAGCGGGCCCAACTGCTATTCATAGTAACAATAAGAATCGTAAATCATTTTGTCATTTTTCATTGGATATAAACCAGCAGCTTCATAAATTCTGGGAACTCGAAGAGGTGCCTTCTAATGTCGAGTCTCTTACCAATGATTATTTCAAAAACTTATTTAAAAATACTACTTATCGAGATGCTCACGGTAGATTTTGTGTTCAAATTCCTCTTAAAGAATCTACTCAGTGCTTGGGTGATTCTTACAATATAGCCGAAAAACGCTTGTTGCAATTAGAAAGGAAATTTAAGAATAAACCAGCTCGTAAACAAAAATATCTTGAATTCATTCACGAATATGAACAGTTAGGTCATATGACCGAAGTTCCTCGACCAGCATTTGGATGCTACTTGCCCCATCACGCTGTCATTCGAGAGTCTAGCGAGACTACTAAGCTTCGTGTCGTATTCGATGCCTCTTCAAAGACATCTTCTGGTGTCTCGTTCAATGATGTATAATATATCGGACCTGTAGTACAGGTTTTTGATTTACTTTCAATTCTTTTACGATATCGGCAGCATCGATATGTTGTATCAGCAGACGTCGAAAAGATGAATCGTCAAATACTAGTTGTTCCAAAGCAAAAACATTTACAATTAATTCTGTGGCGCGATGAACCCACACATAAAATTAAAATAGGTCATTATCAATATGACCATATGTCTCACTCGACAGTTTTGGGTCTGAATTGGGATCCATCGAGAGACGTATCGCAATTTTCAGCTAAGTTGCAACTTGATCAAGTTGCCACAAAACGGACAGTCTTGTCCAACTCAGCAAAGCTTTTTGATCCACTGGGATTACTCAGCCTATGCACCATCATCCCTAAAATAATTTTACAGAGGCTGTGGCTATCGAAAATGTACTTGGGATGATCCAGTGGATAAATCTATATTCAAACAATGGACAGACTTTGCGTCGAACTTAGCTTCAATATCCAATTTTCAAATACCTAGGTGCGTTCTTTTACCGCAAGCAATTCGAATTGAGCTTCAGGCTTTCTGATGCCTCTCAGCTAGCATATGCGTCTGCCGTTTACGTCCGATCATTTTCATTTAAAACCTTTATATTTTCATTTAAAACTTTTACAAAGTTGGGGACTTTTATTAAATGACATCAGAAATAATTTTGGCCTTTAAGAGGCAGAAACTTGCCGTCAAATAGAGTTATTCCAAATCAGCCATTTCACGCCATGGAGTCGACTTCGGTGGCCCATTTAATATCACTGACCGCAAAGGTCGCGGTTGCCGGATTACGAAGTGCTATATGTGTTTGTTTATTTGCTTTAGTACAAAGGCCGTGCATCTTGAGGTAGCTAGCGACTTGACGGCTGATTGTTTCATTTTGTGTCTGCGATGCTTTGTAGCTCGTCGCGGTAAAGCATTAGAAATATATTGCGATAATGGTACCAATTTTGTTGGAGCAAATAACTTTCTAACTAACCTCTCAAAAAACAATGAAGATATTATAGGTTTTGCTGCTGAGCAAGGCATAAAATTTAACTTTTCTCCCCCCTTCTCCCCTCACTTTGGGGGTCTTTGGGAAGCAGGCATTAAGGCTGCAAAACACCACATAATACGTATATTAGGCGATAAACATTTCACATTTGAAGAACTATCGACTTTATTCTCGCAAGTTGAAGCAATCCTTAATTCCAGGCCCTTAACTCCTCTTTCATCGGATCCCACTGACCTAGATCCCTTGACTCCTGCGCACTTTCTGATCGGTAAACCATTAACAGCGCTGCCATCCGAAACCTTGATGAACTTCAATCCACATCGACTTAACCGATACCAACTTCTGGAAAGGATGCGACAACATTTTTGGGATCGCTGGCAGCACGAATATCTCTGCGAATTGCAGCAGAAGTCTAAGTGGAGAGTCGAGCGAAAAGGATTCCAGGAAGGCGATCTGGTCATCATAAAAGAAGCGAACCTACCACCTCTTAAGTGGCGAATGGCACGAATCCAAAAACTTTATCCAGGATCCGATGGAATTGCTAGAGTCGCCGATGTCTTCACCTCCAAGGGAGTCGTCCGTAGAGCTGTACACAACCTCTGTTCTTTAGAAAATTCAAGGGACGTCACTCGAACATCGAAGGATTTCGAGGGGGGGGAGGATGTTGGAGCCAATTACCAAGAATGTAAACGCCTCATATAAACTATTAGCTACGACGCGAGAACGCGGGACTCGGTCAAGATCATCAGTGCGTAACGAAGCATTGAACGTGCAACATCCATATGTGTAATCTATATATAATAAATAGCATTAAGTCAGTCTTCGTTTACTTGTAACCTGCGCACTCAAATACACTACTGTGTATTTATATTTGAATATCCTATAGTCGTAAAAGTAGTCTTCGTAACAAAAGACTTATAAAGTAATAACTCTATCGCATATTTACTGCTTTAAGTAGTGATTAACGCGCGTTGGATAGGGCCCTCTTAAACCTATACCTGGGTTGCAAGTCCCAGACACTATTGAAGCTCCTCTCTCTGTAACGCTATGGCCCCGGCACCCTCACGGTGCATTCATTGAATGCTAAGAGGTTTCGTCTCATAATACACAGAACCACTCTCCTTCAAACCCTATAGTTAAGAGAGGACTATATCAATAAGTGTTTCGTTCTCATGTTATATATATATATATATATTTACGGAACGTTTCTCCTCAGTCAAATGATTACTAAAGTCCACGAGCGGCGGCCGTCCTTCTGAACATGACGTCATCGTGCGTCACGTTCTGCCACGACAGACACGAACACCAGTGAGCCTCAACACCCGCCTCGCTACACGATCTGTTCTTTGGTATCTGGAAAAGAACATATTATATACATAGTAATATATTATAAAATGACCGAGATATAATGATAGTTTTGACAACGTTACTAGATTGGTAATATGTACTTCATGATCATGAGCTTTGAATGTTTTCTGGATGTACCAGACCAGACTAGTTAATTTATGGAAACATTTTTAAGTAGCACAAGCTTTATTCAGAAAATACACATGTTTACAAAATGAAATATGTATTGTAATTAACCATGAAATGAAGGTTGTTCAGTATATATAAATAGAATACTTATATTAAAGACAATGAGATCAAAAACAATATCAGTATTTACAATTAAGTTTTTCTTTTTTTAATAAAAATGCTAGAATAAAAAATCTTATGAACCCGCATCCGAAACATTGCGTTCAAATTATTTGGCAAACTAAACTATCGTGCTAGGTCGAATTCAAGTATGATTATATTATAATGTTACTGACCGGATCTAGTAGACTGAGCCCCCTGTTCAGATCGGCTCCTTTAACTCTATATGTGTTAGTGAACTGCGTCAGGTCCAGTACATCTAACACCGTCGCGTATATGTCGTGAGGTGTCGTCAATATTTCCACGTTCTCCTCTTCTTCAGTTTTTCTGGAAGTCTGATCGCCATGAGCGGTATTTTTTCTTCGAGTTTCCCTTGGAGAGTATCACGAACATTTGCGTACCTTATTTTATGTCAATAACTTTATTTACATATTGATATTTCTTGGGGATCTCTTTTACAATTCAAGTTTTAATTTTTTCCCAGATATGTAATGTAATGTGACTAAAATTTTATATCAAAGAATGAGGGGAACTATTAAAACACGTATGATACTTTCTTGAAAAAATCTCTAAAACTAACAAAAAGTTAAAATTCGAGGCAATACAAGTATAGCGAAAGACAATTGATGAAAATAAATATAATGTTGTTTTTTTATAGGTTATTATTTGCCTTTTGTTTATTTGATTTAATTATAATATGTATTAACCTCGTTCCGTGGTCCCCCATGACAATTATCAAGGTGTCCTCTTTATATCCGTCATGGAATCTTGTAAGATACTCCGCAGTCTCTTCATCAGCTATAGATATCATGTTGAAGTCATCATGGGATATGTCAACTATAAACGTGAATGCAAAACGTTTTCCGTCCAGGCGGAGAAACTGAAAAGAAGACGAATGAAAAGATAAAATAGGAAAATAATATTTGACTTATAAAACTAAGCACCGCCAGAATAACTGAGTTATTATATCAAATAAAATCTAAAACGTATAATTGTAGTAAGTATTTCAATATTCTATATAAGGTAAACTCACTAGTAGTTGACCATGTACCTGTAGTTGACCGCTAATGCACATAAACCGTTATAATAAGAATTCGCGGCAATTTTTAAAACTCATTCGTTAATAAGTAGTCAGATCTGCTATCTGGTCAACTAAGAGCGAAAATTGCGCATCCATATCTGTAAAATATAGAAAGTGGCTGCTAGTTGTATGTTGAGTGACGGACCATAAAATCAATAAATTCGTTTGTTGTTACAATATTCGCAAAGATTGAAAAAGTGTGAAACTAAATACTAGGAACTTTGTCACCTTATTGACGGTAAGTGTTTTTCGTTTCTTATTCGTTTATGGTTTATTTATATGACAGGCTAATTAAAATTTAAAGATTTGTTGACAAAATTGAGATGTGGGGGTGGTCCAATACTAATTCCATTTGACTGTGATTTTCTAGTAATTGACCATGGTGGCCCATTACCGAATTACCGATTGACTATGATTTTCTAGTAAATGACCATGGTGGTCAACTTTTGATTAAGTTCTGTATCTTGTAAATATGATGCATATAATAATTAATTAAAATAAACTATTTTATTTACTTTAACAATATATTGATTTTCTTTAGTAGTTGACTAACTGTATGGTACAAATTTATGGCTATGGTCTACTTATTACTAAAACCAATTTCTCATCTTGTAGATGCCTGGGAATAGGGGCGCATTCCTAAATTATACTGAAGCTGCAATGCTTGCAGCAGTGAACGATGTTCGTCTTTATAATACACCAATACGAACGGCTGCAAAAAAGTTCGGTGTACCAAGAATAACGCTTACAAATAAAGTAAAAGGGAAGTCACCGATGGAACGAAAAATGGGTCCGATATCCATCCTTACACCAGAAGAGGAGCATAAAATATGCGACTGGGTGCAAAAAAATGGCAAAAGCGGGTTTTCCTGTGACAACCGAACAGTTAATTGTGAGTGTAGAGAAATACTTAAAGGAAATAAAACGTCCATGTGTCTTATTCAAGCATGGAAGACCAGGTAGAACATGGGTAAAGGCCTTTATTAGGAGAAATCCAACAATTTCCAAGAGGATATCACAAAATTTGACAGCAATTAGAGCCAAGGTAACAGGTGATCACCTATCAGAATGGTACAAACGTGTGTATAAGGAGTTGGAAGATAGTGGCCAGGCCTAATTATTATTATATTTCAAATAAAACGTTTTCTTTTCGTCTTATTTTGCTTTTTATTTAACAAATAACCCAATTAAAATTGTAGCATCTGAGTGGTCAACTACTGATGCAAAATATGGTCATCTTCTAGTTTTTAGATGGTCAACTACTAAATTTCTAACATTAGAATATTTTTAATTTTTTTTAATTTTATTCATCCATTTTACGTGGTGAAATACTTTTTCATGTGTTAAAACACTTTTCACAGGGTAATTATGATAATAATTAAAGTCAAACATTTAAAAAGAATATTCTGTCTCCTTAAGTGGTCATCTACTGGTACTTTTACCTTACTTAATTGAAAAATTATGATGAACCAATCTAAAATATACCTTATTAAATAAAACTTAAAGAATAATTTCCATGCACCTGATCAGTAATATCCAACATTAGTTTATACTGCGGAGTATCTCCCACGCAGTATTTGTTCAAGTTGCTCGTCCACCATTTCTTGCCGCCGTTTGACTCCTCCATATAAAACGATAACAAGTAATGATCCGCGGGTTGCTTCTTGAAACCATTGAATCTGTACTGGAATGTTCCTATCAGGGCATGTCTTCGAAGAATGCTGTTCGGTAACTGAAATCATACGTATTATGCTGACATCAAACAGATCTTTAAGCATCAGTAAGTTTGTGATGCATTATGCTCGTTTGTAGCTAAAAATAATTTGTAGTAGTCTTATGGCATAAAGGTATAGATAAATTAATTGTCAAGAAACGAACTACAAAATAAGAAAGATTTAATGTATGATTAAGTAAATAATATCATTTTGAAAATCCAAAATAATTTAGATTTCTTTTCATAATATTTGTCTTAATTTTTCTTATTGATAATGTTCATTCTTTTTAATATTTTCAAAGTTTAGGATTTCCATATTCAATGAAAAATTATTGTATGTATTATTGTTTGTATGATGAAAAAGACTAGGACGTTAATTATATTACCCCAAAATTAAGTCCACCCTATCCACCAAGTCTCACCCTTCATCCTTCAGCTTATAGAATATGAAGGCATGTCGTCCAAGGTTCTGTTGTTCTTCATCTTCTTCCTCACATCAGGCAGTTCCAACTCCGTCTTCCCCGTCAGGATCGGGAACAGGGCGGCGGGCGTCCCATCGCCTACTATATTGTACCTATCATAAAATATTATTGAAATTTTCTAATATTACTAAGACTATTGGGGTCGGTATTTAGATTAGAATTCCTCAAGAGAAATATAAAGTAACGAAATGTAAAGTTGTTTACCATTTTAGATATTGTTTTCTCATTAAAAAGATGCAGATAAATTTAAGAAAAACAACAAAGAAAATTTACCCCGTAATATGTCATTCAAAATATCATGTTGTTTGTTACATACCCATTCAAAATCGTAGCGCCCAATGTTTCCTTTAAAACTTTATAACTCTTCGGCATTTTTCGTATGAATCCGTTTTTGGAGGTGGAGTCGAATCCCAGGATGAGAACGTTCAAGGAGTCACCTCTTCCTTTCGGAGAGAGTTTTGCAAGAAGTTACAGTGGAACGGAAGCCAAGAGAGTGGCCGATCAATTTGGATGGGAGTATACTGGAAAATCGTGAATACATTGGAAACATTTTGTTCAGATTTCCATTAGTAACAATTATTCAAAATTGTAACGTGACGTCTATACTAGGGAAAATAATCAAGACTGTTAAAAAAATATGAATATCAAGTAACATATCTGAAAAATTACTAATCAAAAAAATATATAACTTGACCACAGTGAAAGATCTCAAGAAACAGCAGTAATAGATTATAAAAACTAAGATTAATCGATAGTCTTTCTGTTATTTTGTGATTATTGAGGAGTATTCTTCACTGTACTTTCTATTGCCTTTAACACATAATCTCACCTGTCCCTATGTTTTCCTGAACACTTAATCTTTACATGATCGCTCTTAGTGAGAACAGACTCGTTATCACCTCTGACCGCTGTGGGAGGACCGATTGTATATTTTTGATCACTCTCATATATTATGTCTTGGTAGGAACATACTATGTTATCGGTGGTATTTAATATTTTAGGAACTACCCTACATTTAGAATGCTGAAAAAAAATATATTAATACATACAATATAATATGTTATCTTTCGTGTTTAATATTACAAAAGCAGTATCCAAATCATATTAACTCACATAACATTTAACCCAATCCGTTCCCAAACACATAACCTTGGGTATGTCCTTATCAAACTGCGTGACTTCTTTAGAGAATGTATCCAACCGGGGTATCTCACACCCGGAGCCTTTGTCCTGTTTCAGAGATTGTTCTTATAGTCTTTCCATGGACCTGGATTAAAAATATAACACAGACTATTTAATAATAAAACTAACTTTAATAATATAAGATTTTACCTCATACATGTAATTATCAAGGTTAATCAAGAATTAACCGATATTTATAAAATTACGTACAACGCTGTTCTGAAATTACAATTTCATTACGAATCCTCATGTATATTTAAAAAAAAAATTATAAATATACACTATAAATATGAAGTATATTGTAAATTAAAATAGAAATACGTCAAACTAGACAGTTCTACTTTCTCAATAACAAGTTGCCTGAAATATATGTAATTTATCATTCATCAACATTGTAAAAACAACGATTCAAAAAATTTGTGGAAACAAAAAATCTAAGCCTTTATATTTGTGATGCTAAAGCTCTTGATGATAGAAAATATAATACGAACAGCATCATTATTAACTTATTTAATAGTATTAAATATGAATGGTATAGAATATTAAAACTAATTACAAATTAGGACGTTTACACAGTTGTTATTCAAATCCATTTGTTGTTTGTGGAATTAAAAAGTGTCTATGACGTAGTATCTGAATCTTGGTGATTTCCTTTAAATAAGTCTTAGTAAGTAGACAAGGAAACGAAAGATATATTCAGGATAGCTACAATCGAGAAATTCTGTCACAATAATTTTAAGGCTTTAATAACCCTTTAAGTAGTAGATATATCGCTGGCCTCTACTACTACCTCAAAACTTAATGAATGGGTCTTGTTAAATTGATAATATTTCCCAATAATCTAGCAACAATACAAATTTAAACAAAATGAAAGCACAAAACAAATTTTAAATCCGAACCTTCTTGTGACGTAAGTGCTACATATTAATATAATAAATAAACATCGCTGGGGCAACATCGTTAATTAAGAATTTACGATACTATCGGCAACATTTAACACTATAATTTTATATTTTTATTTTGTACTACTATTTCGATAAATAAAACAAGGACTAAAATTTGGATATTCTCATTTTGTTCGCGGCTTTCACCATATTCGTTTTTAGGCTATAAATTATTGCAAGGGATTTTGTATCTTGGAGAATATAACCACCGCCGGCGGGCAGGTCCTTACGTTACTTATCATAGCCAGAACTACGGTAACTACAGGTCTGCCGTCTGACCCAACCCCCGTGTAGTGACCCTATCCATGTAGGTCCCGTTAATCCCACAGTAAATTTTCTGCCAAGTTCTTTTAAGATATGAAATATTTTTAAGGTACTTTTAATTATCGTACTCACTAACTCATATGTTTATTTTTTCTATCTAATACCAACGCGGATTTAATGAACATTGAAAAGTTGACTTATATTAAAAAAATATATATTTATTTCTCCAATTTTTATTTTAATATAAAACAAATTATTATACAATCTTGTATGTACGAGTATCTACTGCCTACTGGGTTAGTATTGGAAAACATTTATATTATACTTGTGTCAAATACTGCACCTGTTAATGATATTTTTTTTTTTCGCATTCAAATACACAAAATATAGCAAAATTTATTTAAATTATATCTAATTCTTAAGATTTTTTTATCGTTAATATAATCTATGACATATCGTTATAAGATGTTTTATTGTAATAGTTATAATAGACTGTCGAAGCCTCAAACACTAAATGAATTTTTGCAACCGAGAGCTGTTTCGAATGATTTTCTTTAACAGAAATATAGTTTTTCTTAGTAAAGTACGATCGATTATGCGATTTGTTATACTAAAATTTACCCTGTTGACTATTTTCTTAAAGAGAAGACACTTTCATCCGAAAACCAAAGTTTTAATTGTTCTTTGGAGTTGTTAACGGGAAAACCCTCATTTAAAAAGCAAACTTTACCAATATAATATTCCAACAACTATCCGTTTTAATCGAAACATTTGAGTTCTATGAGTTAATGTTTTAACAACCAACATTTTATACTACTGTTCTAGGAAGAAGCGGCAATTCATTTTTATGGCTTTAAAAAATTCACGAAAATACATACGTAAGTACAATTTGAATATTATTCGCAAATTTGGAGTACAAAAATGTTGATCTATTTACAATCATATCTCAATTTTCATATTAACAATGTTTCCTCACTCTATGTATGGACGGGTCACCGTTTGATATTTAACTTAATTTAAATATTTTTTAGTATTTTCTGTTCAAATATAAATTATATTTATTTTATTGTAAGTACATATATGTACTTTTATATTATATCTCATAAGTATTTTAAGTTCCTAGATATTAATATAAATAATTTACATAAATTTGTAACATAATGTACAAATAATAATCTTAATCTATCAAAAGTCATTACTTGTATATTTATCCATATTACAAAGACAATACAAGAATATAAACTATCATATACATATACAGTATGTACTATTCAATTATATACCGTTTTTCCTTATCCCTACCAAGTGTTATGTGTTCCTTATACATGTAGTATGTTCCTCATGGTACCTGTCATGTAGTGCATGTAATCTCGCTCGAGGTATCATGAGGGCCGGCGGCGGGGGAGGGGAGTGTCCGGGAGGCTCCGGGGCCTGCTTACTGTGTGATGTACACCGGGACTACAATAGAATAGAATACAACTAAAATATACATACATATAGAATACACACTCCATATACTCCGAGGATGATT